GTTGCTGGGCTATCTTCGGACGCAACCCTTGAGCATTTAAATGAAAAACAGAAATTACCTTGTAATTCGGCAATATACGCTTGAAAATGGGATCGACACTGGAAGCGGACTCAGATCTTGTTGCACTGTCAAACACGAGCCGACGTGCATTCCGGGTCAATGGTAACATATATTAAATTGTCATTTACGTCAGTATGATTAAAAAACGAAGAACACCTATGAGCGTCAATAACATTATACAACATATTAAAAACTTCTAATTTCCCATAACCATTCAAATGAATACCACCTTTATTATAATGATTCCCCCCTACTATATTATTCACTTCAAAATAAATTAAACCCTTACTTACATATTTGGTACAATATTCGAATAAGGTACAGTTCATTTCATATATTTGCTGATTGACATTAAACTTGGGGTTTATGTATGGTATTGACATAAAAATAACATTTGTGTGCCCTAGCCTAGATATAATCTTATGTAGTTGTGGCTTATTATAATGCTTATTGCGGAGCGCGTCGTTTGTACCAGCAAAAATTAGAATATAATCACTTTTGGTAAAAGACTTAGACAAAGCGGCGGCGTCCGCAACAACATCCACAAGACAAGCATTTGGTTTAAATATTACCTCCAAATCTGGCACAATATCTCCAAGAAATTTGGAGGCATATCATTCCTGGCTGTCAGCTAGTAAAAGAGTTTTTGACAAAATAGCATCCCTGGACAATGGTTGAAGCAGTTTGACGTTCACAATAATTTTTTTCTGGAAATATCGATAATATTGTCTCATAGTTTGTATATCATTTCATAAACTAGAATCTTGACATACATATCATATCAAGATTCGTAAAGAGGCAGTCTATATTATTTTTTGAAAATTTTCCGTTACTTTTGATTTCTAAATTTAATAATTTCTTCCACAATAATTTTTTTCTTCCATAATAATCCCTTATAAACGAAATTGCAGAAACGTAGGTGTAAGAACTAAAATCAACACGGTTTTGCTGACTTTTTGCGGACACTGTATACTCTATTTTATTATAACTAATCAATATTCTAGGAACACGATTTGACGACTATTTCCGTTATCATATTGAACTTCTTTGGCTTATTTCTTTATCACACATTTGGACAACGATTTATTACTGCGGTATGATTAACTCATTCAACATATACAGGGTGTTTATTTTTCTGCACTGGATTA